GATTCAATTAGAGTAATTCAGTGATTTCACGGTAATTATTACTGTAAAAATAACAGATGTTTTGTTTCGTAACATGTTCCGGTATGCTGCGCATCTTTTTACTGCAATTTGATCCGATATTTTTTAAAGTAAAGAAATTTTTAAACCTATACTATCGTTCACATTCGCTGTTCCATAGCTTCTGTCCCATTCACTTTAATGTTACTTCTTTAAACTTGATAACACAATAATATGGTTTAACTTGGAGACAAACCTGGCTAAATTTGAAACTTTATTATAACTTGTAGCAAATTTTCACCGCATTATTGCTCAAAAATTTAAAAAAAAATATTTTTTTAGCTCAGCTTTAAACTGAATTTTTTGAGGGAGTATCATTACTCTTCACTCTTATCAATTCAAATGATTTTAATGATTCAAGAGAAATAATAAGACACCTTATTTTAATAATTATTATATGACAAGTTATTTAGTGATAATTTCAATGGAATTAAAAAAAGAAACACTTAATAATTTATGATATTTTAATAAGACAAGTAATTTAATAGCCACAAAACAAGAAAATCATTGCCTCAATAACTTAAATACTTTTATCAAAAAGAAAAAAACACTTCGATTCATTAAAAATTTATGATTGCAGTTTTCGAGATAACACAGTTTTAAATAGCTAAAATATATGTAAGAAAGAATTATAAATATTGTTACTTTATTTTTAGTTACATATTTAATTACATGAACAAGAATCGTCAGCATTTTTTTTTAGAAATTAATAATGATGTATAAAAAAGTATAATGAATAGATTTTGCGAAGAAAAATAAAATTCTTCTAAAGAAATAAAGTAATTCTATAGAATGTAAAGATATCTTCAAAAGAGTTGGATTCCTTAACAATGGAAGAGAAACGAGAAAAGTGGGAGAAATTCCACATAACTTTGGATACGTGGTTCCGTTCTTTTTTAAATGTTTCAAACAATTATTTTTCGAATCCTGAAGAAAAAACTTTTAAAAGAGAAGAATCACCAGATTTATACTGAATGTATTCGAGAATTTTCTTTTCTTTCCAAATCGGGGTCTTTAGGTGATATATGTCTAGCGAGAATTTTATACGAGCTAACCTTAAAAATTCGAGCATATTCTTTTTTTTTATAAGTTTATACGCTCTATACATTTTCTATGGAAACGTTATTATGCATTTTTTCTTGTAATAAAATATTATGTATTTTTATGGGAATAAATAAATATCATGTTCAAATCAGCAACATAAAAATATATCAAAATGATAAATATTATATACATATAGGGTAAATCAATTAGTGAAGGGACACTACCCAGTGAAGGAACATTTCATATATATTGATTAAAAATAAGAATTTGAAAGTTTTTCTTTAGATTGATTGGTAACACAGGGTGGCCACTCAAATCAGGTTTCAAATTTCCCTGATTTTTCCAGGTAAAAATCCTAAAATTTCCACGTCAATGTGCTTTTTTTCCTCTCATAAAGTGTAGGATGGGTATAAGAAACGTATCAATATTATAAAGTATTTTTTTTTAAATAATTTTTTATTGTTATTTAATCATCTTTGACTCAGGGGATTGAGTGCAAGCCGGGTCACTTCATGGGAATGAGGTGATCTGGAAAGGTGCTCTATTCTTCTAGAAACCAGTAGAGTTTCATGTGGCATTTTAGTTTAACAGAGTTATAATGGACCAAATTTTGATGCAAGCAAAGTATTGCTAAGTTGATGGTATTTCAACTGTTTGGCAATGAATTTCTGTCTAAAAGTGGGTATAAGAGATGGTAAAATAATTTTAATTAAGGAAATTAGTAAATAATTTAAATTAGTAAAATTAAGAAAAATCAAAGAAATAAATTCCAGCTTTTCTTTAAAAATCCCTGATTTTTCCAGGTTTTTGTCCAAATTTCCCTAATTTTTCCAGGTTTTTCCCAGTATAAAAAAAATCCCGTGATAAGTCCAGGTTTTCAAGGTTTTCCAGGTGGGTGGTCACCCTGTAACAAAAGCTTACTGCCAAACAATAGGAAGTCATCTAGCAATGTTTTGGATTACCTGGTCACATAGAGTTCTCAGGAAAATTTTTTAAATTTGTTATTATTTCTGCAACACCTAGTTTCTCTGAAAAAATTATAAGGTGAGTGTTTGTATTTATATGTTGGATGTGGAATTAATTGCATGCAATAGTTTTATTTTTCTCACTGTGAAAATAAGAATTCAAAATATAGTTATTGAAATTAAGTTTTATTTTTTTAAAGCATCATAGCATAATCAAGTACTGAGATAAGGAGGTGTTTATTCACTGGATCACCAAACGATGAAAAACCAGTGAAGGAACAAGAGTTCCTTTACTGGGCATGGATTTCCCAGTGAATGAACAGTATNAGCATCATAGCATAATCAAGTACTGAGATAAGGGGGTGTTTATTCACTGGATCACCAAACGATGAAAAACCAGAGAAGGAACAAGTGTTCCTTTACTGGGTTTATGAATTATGAAAATGAAAGAAAAACTTTAATTTTCTTGTACCTTTAGTGATGTTTTGCATCAAAAGTATGTTAAAAATACAAAAAAACAACTTCTAACCAGCGAAGGAACAGGCATGTTCCTTTACTGGGCATAGATTTCCCAGTGAATGAACAGTATGTGTTAATATATTGACACTTTACTTTTCAATTCATGATTACAAAAAAAAGTTACCATTTTCCAAGTATTTGTATGTTATAATTTCAAGAATAGGCTTGTTTTTAGATATTTGTATGGCATATAAATTCATAAAAACCATTAAAAAATAACCAAAATTAACTGTTCCTTTACTGGGAAATTTTGTGGTCCTTTACTGGTTAGAGCTGTTCCTTCACTTGGTCTTCTTACTGCTTGTTATTTGAACCTCCAAAACTTTAAAACAATATAATGTAAGTTCTCCACAATTTTTTTTACATAATTTGCAATTAGTAGTGACTATGTTGACACGGTCATTTAACTAAATTTACGAACTTTGAAATTAATATGATTTTTTTAAAAGGCAAGCGAAGCTTAAGTGTTCCTTCACTGGTTAGTNATATATATATATATATATATCACTCAATTATTGTATTTATTGAACACATATATTCATTCAAATCTTTAAACTTTTTCGATGAAAAAATTATGCATTTATTGCTTATCATAAATGGGTGTTATTATGCGTATTCAGTATGCTGTAATATGTGTATTCAATAAGTGCATTAATTATCATTATGTTTGGTGACAGCAAATAGATATCTAGATTTAATCAAATACATAAAAATCTATACAAATTATATTGAAATATAGATTTGCGAAAAATAAATAAATAAAATGCTTTCTTGTTAAATTTATTTAACAAATAAAAGTGTTAAAATCTATAGAAAGTACAGCGATAACTTTCATGATTTTATTGAAAAATATCACTAAACAGCACGGAAAAATAATTCTGATAAAATCATCGAACTGTATGGTTATGCCATTTCTGAGGAAAAACAATCCTTAGTTCTGATTATTAAAACCAAAATATACGGTGTTTAAACCATTTGTTACGTAATTTTTCATTTCATATGGTAACGGTTTACTTCTGGTTTTCAAAATTATAGTTCTGCATTTAGTAAAAAATACAAAACTGAATTTAACTGAAATTTAACTAAATAAAAGGTTTCTATGCCCAGTTTTAAGATATCCTGATGAAATTACCAAATTTCACCACATTTACTAACTTTTATCACAGATTACAAAACCATATTTTATTGTTAATTTTACCAAAATTATTACCAAAGCGCATCGTTAAAAAAATCCTCAAGCTTTTTGGTGTTCCCAGAGAGAGAGAGAGGGAGATAGAGATAGATAGATAAATAAAGAGAGAAACGATAAATTTTATCTTATTCTGGTAGTTATGACCATATTTTTTTTTCACAGAGTGCAATGAAGAAGAAATGGAATAGATAACAATCTATGGAATTAAATCAGGAATAGTTTTCTGAATCGCACAAACCCGACAATTTTGCACCTAGTTCTCTTAGTTTAGGTAACATGACATGAAATAAAACATTACCTTTTATTAAAATATAAGTCCACTACAAACAATAGCAAACTGCGAGAACGATCAATCTGATAAAGAATGTCCATAGTTTTATTCTAACAGTGTTACTTATTTTTAGTACTGATATTGTTTACTTTAATTGCAATATCACATTGTCGATTAAACATTGCATTGCTAAAAAAGAATTATACTTTCTGTGTCAATTTTAATTTTTTAACTATTTCTTAAGTTTATCAACCGCATACGTTAATAAAAATAGCATATGACCAAGTATTATTTGTCAATAATCATTGTAAGTTACAACAATATATTTTCACATAAAAATAAAAAGTTTTAAAAAATCATTGCAATAAATTTGAATAATTAATGAAAAATATTACTCAACCGCATTATGAAAAAAAAAATGAAACTGATAACAATCAATAAAATTGAATCAAGAATCGCTCTATGTCACACAACCTATCATTTCCAGACTAGCTCTTGAAGTTTAGGTAGCACGACATCAAATTAAACGTTATCTCTGATCAAAAAATAAATCCTCTACAAACAATAACAAACTACGATCAATCTGATAAAGGATGTCCACAGTTTTATTATCCCAACACTACGTACTTCTAGTATTGAAAAGAAATTCTCATTGGAAATTCTACGAACCGTGTAAACTTCCGTTTATTACACGCCACGTGCAACAAGCAGAGACAACGACGACTACACGAGTGTGTCGACATCCTCCCAATTGCATATTTAAGAAATCATCTTTAATGTTGTTGCTAACCTCATGTTGTACTTGCTCAATTACGCATAATAAAAAGTTCCTATTAGTCACGGCAGCTGCCGCCGCAAGCCTTGGCAAAATGATATTCTTTTAAAGATGAAAATGGAATATTAATATTGTTGTCTTATTTACATTTTACTATACTTTAGTTGACTGTAACAATAACTTCATCTACCGCATCAAAGAGATGATTAGGGTAGATAACAAACTTTTTCAAGTAAGGACATTTTCAGTTACAATTCAGTGATTTTTGATATTTTGTTAATTTTATTTATGAAATTGTTAATAAATAATTTTAGCCTTTTCAGCATTAGAAAATAATAATATTATTACAAGATCGAGTATTAAATCTTTATAAAAGATGGTTTTGTTTTGCTTATTTGCAATGTTTTCTATTAGCGTTTAAAAGTAATTTTCTGATATAAGCTAATGAAGCCTTTTCAGTCATTGCAATCATATTCTAGTTTATTTTTAATTATTAGTTGACGGATAATTTACTATCGAATACCATATTTACCGAAAAATTGCATATTTTTTATATTTACTTATTACTAATATAATGTAGAACTTAAAAAAATCTACCAGATTTAGGTGACAATTTAGAATATCTACAAAAATATTTCCAAATATCTATTGGTATCTAACAATTAATATATACTGAAGTCATTTTTTAAATCTTTCACAATAATTAATTGCTTTCTTTAGGAAAACTATTATTAAAGAGTGCTTGCGATAGTTTTCGTTTAAAAAAAAATTTCAGTGTGCGCAATTTAAATGCAGCCAGTGTTAAAACCAAGAACCAACACTTAGATTCTTAGTGTTGGTTCTTCTTAGATTAGTACCTTAGAACCAACACTTATTATCAATATAATTATTTTTAAAATCCATTGATTCAAAAGCCGTTTTTTCAGCAATTTATTCACCTACATTCCAATATTTACGTCCTAGAGCCGTGATGGCTCAGGGGATAGAGCATTTGCCTTCTAATGAAGTGAACCGGGTTCAAATCCCAGCGACTGCTGGCCGATACGAATTCCGGATCCGGCTTGCACCGACCACAGTGTTGATGCAAAATATCCTCAGGGGTAGACGGATCATGGATTAGAGTTCCCTAGCCGTTAGGCTTTCCGTGGGAAGTTTTCCTCTCTATGTAACGCAAATGAGAGTGAGTTAAATCAAAAAGTCCTCCACGAAGGCAAATTTCTCCCAATACTTGATCCAGGAGTTCCTTAGCCTTCTGGATTAGGTTCAAAATTACAAGGTTACAGAATTGAACATTAGTAGTCGTAAACCCAAAATTGGGTCGGCTGTTCAACGACGGTTATAAAATAAAATACTTACGCCCTTTCTAAAAAACTTATAATGCTTCCCCATTCTAAATAACTCTTGTATTTTTCATTAAAAAATAAGCAAAATTGAAAAAAATATGATTGGTTGGTTTTTTGGAGTTTTTGGCGCAAGAGCCAGTTGTGGCTATACGACACCTCCAACTAGGTGAATATTATACATCTAAGTTGTGGGTTAAAAGCTAGATTGATGCGCAGATACCAATGTCTTTGAGGTAAGATCAAATTTTATAATGAGGGTCATCTCCAATTAATAAAGTCAATGACGGATTTAAGTCACCGAAATGGCGTCTCTCAAATTTCAAAATTGTTACACTAAGTCAAAATATGTTTGATAGTAAGAGGTTCCTTACAATGGGAACATTCGGGTGCAGGCTCATTTAACAAAAAGTGTTTATGAGTTATGCGTGTGACCAATACGTAAGCGATTTAGAAGCACTTAAAGCTCCCGAAGATTATTTAAGTCTTTATTAGGTTCTATAGTAGGTTTAACAGTGCGCAATTTATTGTGTGTTTCATATTTTTCTTCAGTTTTGCAAGACGATTAATCAATTGTTTTTTGTTAAATTAAGGTTTTGGTAAATTAATTATTTTTCAAAACAAAAAAAATGTTAAAAACTATTACTACAAGAACATTGCTATAATCTAACAGTGCATTGCTATTATATAACTGTTAACTTTCAAAACGATTCTGCAACTAATTTGGATTTGCTCAATCTCTGTGATATTTATAATCAATATCATTTCAATCTTCTATCTTTAAGATTTTACGGAAGCCATTTATCCTTAGGCCGTTTATCCGATGACTTATTCAACTGCACTTTATTAACTCTGTTCTTCTTAAAATCTCATAATGCTTATTCCAAATAACTTTTATAGTGACGTCAGACTAGATAGCGCGAAAAAACTTTTTTCCCTTTTCCGAACTACTTCTTTTCCTTTCGTTTGAAAGGGAAAATCGACAAGAAAATTCCTCATCCGCGAAGAAAAGTTCTAACGGAAGAAGAGTAGGTTCAATAGCGCATAATTGCGCGAATATTTCTGCTTTTTCCCCCCTTCTTTAAATTGCAATATAAATACAAATTCCATCATGGCTACAAGCATTTCCAACCGCCAAAAGATTGTCTATGATAGAATGAGCGATGTAGTCGTCTCTAATTAGAAAAATGGAAAACGTTAAATTTTTAAATTTCGTGGTGTTTGTGTTTATTATGAATGGTTGTATTCGTAATTCTGTGATGTTAAATAACGTTAGAAGGGGTTCATTGTAATGATTGATTTTTTTCCTGGTGAATGTGTGATATGATTCAACTTTAAAAGAGAAAATAATAAATAAAAATATTTTCAGAATCAAAAAAAAATTATTTTTCAAAATATTTTCTGCCTAAGTGAAAATAATTAATTCAGAAAATGTCAAATTTCGTGGTGTTTGTGTTTATTATGAATGGTTGTATTCGTAATTCTGTAATGTTAAATAACGTTAGGAGGGGTTCATTGTAATGATAGATTTTTTTTCCTAGTGAAATAACGTTATGATTCAACTTAAGAAGAGAAAATAATAAATACAAATATTTTCAGAATCGGAAAAAAAATATTTTTCAAAATATTTGCTGCCTAAGTTAAAATAATTAATTCAGAAAATGTTAAATTTTTAAATTCCGTGGTGTTTGTGTTTATTATGAATGGTCGTATTCGTAATTCTGTGATGTTAAATTACGTTAGGAGGGGTTCATTGTAATGATAGATTTTTTTCCTAGTGAGTGTGTGATACTGTGTGATACCCTTTCTGAACATTTTTACGTAAAGGTTATACTCTTTTTGAACAGAGTTTCAACATTTTGGAGTTGATCATATTAAGTTTAAAATTTTGGGATAATTTCTGTTCATCTGCATAACAGAACTTTAAATTTTTCCCTGGACAAAAAAGCACATTTAATTACAGTTAGGAATACACGATTGATTGCAGTAAAGAAAATGTACAGTTAATTATTCTTGACAAATGAAAGTTGACAAAGATTAACACAATTGACAAAGATTAATGAACAGGCAAAAATAAATTTTTAGACCAGTTAAATACTACTTGTTTTAGCTTTTTCAAGCATGTTTTGCAGCAGTGATACACAACGATATTTTGAGTTCAGTTTCACACACTGTAAAAAATTCCGGATCACAAATTCCGGTAAACAGTAACAACACTCAAGGTGCTAGTGCTTTTTACCTTAAAATCCGTCTGTACCGGAACATGTTACGGGACAAATATCTCATAAACCGTAGTTATTACAGTAATAATCACCATATAAAATCACTCTAATAAAATAAATATTACTATTAAAATTATGGTATAACATTTAACGATAAAAATGGATTTTACGGATGATACACTCGAAGTACCCGGTACTTCATATCGTAATTTGATACGAAATTTTAAATATATAAAATTGATAATTTTACATTTCTACTTTTTCAATGTGTATCAACAAACTAGTAAGTATTGTATTCTGTTTTCTTTTTTTATGATAAACAAATTCACGCAAGACAATTTATATTTCTACTTTTTCGATGTGTATCTATTCAAAAGTTCTGTCTACTGATTGCATTTTTATATAAAAGACAATTTCACATAAAACAAAACTACAGTTAAGTTTCAAAAAGAAGAGAGTTATACATCTTATTTTTACTTATCAGTTAAGTAATAGACATGATATCTTTCCAAATTCATATTAAGGTGACAAGACCTGGGTATTAAAGATGGACGATGCACCTAAAGTACCGGTACTTTACTCCGTAATTTGATACGAAACTTTATACAATGTAAAATTGACATTTTTCCATTTCAATGTGTATCAACAAACTAGGAGTTTTGTTCTGTTTACATTTTTTTATGATAAACATTTTCAAAGAAGACTTTTCGATGTGTATCAACAAATTAATATTCAAAAGTTCTATCTACTGAACGTATTTTTATATGAAAGATAATTTCACACAAATCAAAACTACATTTAAGCTCCAAAAAGAAGACAGTTATACATCTTATTGTTACTTATCAGTTAAGAAATAGGCATGATATCTTTCCAAATTCATATTAAGGTGTCAAGACCTTGGTATAAAAGGTCAAGAAATTCCTCTCTATTATTCTCTGGTTTATGGTTAGATGAAATGGTATAGGCAAGAGATTCTGTGAGTAATCCACAGGGATTCGGAAGTCCGAGTCATGATCAAAAGAATAATCTATATATAATTTTATTGGCCATCGGCTCGGCTAATGTTGTGTCACGGGAAATAAAGAAAGACGGACAATGGTAGATGGCCACGCTACGACACGTGACCAGCTTGTTATATTAAGTTTATGGGGTCACTAATAGACCAGGGTAAGGAAGCATAAACTGCAGAATTTCGATGAATTGGGCATACATAGATGTTAGATGAATTATTCATATTGAATAAAATTTGCGAATTATTTGTATTAGGATGAAAATAATTGCAAAATTGTTTTGTATCATTCAACACATTTCTATACAGTCATTGAGTTATTAGTTTTCTGAATCATAGAATAAGAATTAGAATTAAAAATAACAAATTGGATTATTACAAAATGCATTGTATAGTAAATTGTATTTAAATGTCACAAAAGTGTATCATTATTAAGCACATAGTTTATTAAATATGAATTTTCTGTGCAAGCTAAGGTTAGTTAGTTTGTTAATAAGTCACTAATTATTGGAGCAAGAGTCCTAAAAAGGCTCTATCGCGCCAAACACTTAGTTGAAGCTAAGCCCGGTTTAAGTTCTTGGGAAGTACTTTATGTCTTTCCGCAAGTTAGGAATTTTAAAAAGTGATAATAATTTCCATTAAATCTTAAAGAATCAATGAT